CATGAGCATGGTATGGTATGTTCTTCCATTTCTGTAGAAACAGCCTCTAGTGGTCTCTTTTGGTTTCTTCGTATAAATCTTTTATGTAGCTAAGTAGGTTTCCTCCTAAGTATTTTTGGTGGCTATTATAAATGGTATTTTCCTGATTTCCTTTTCAGGATTCCCTTTGATATTTAAAGGAATCCACCTGATTTTTGTTTGTTAACCTTGTACCCTGCCAATTTGCTGAATGCTTCTATTAGTTTCAATTGATTTATTATATAATCTTTGGGGTTTTATAATATAATATATTCAGGGCCACATCTTTTGCAAATATGGATAGATTTACTTCTTCCTACAAATTTATGTGTGTGGGTTTTTTTTAAATGTTTTTATTTCCCTTTCCTGCTATTGCTCGAGTTCTTTTGCTGCAGTATTGAATAGGGGTGGTGACAGAGGCGTCCTGGTCTCATCCCCATTCAGTCTCTCTGGGGATGTTGGCTATTAGTTCTGTGTAAATGTCCTGCATTCTGTTGAGGAATTTCCCTTCTATTTTTATTTTGCTGAGAGTTTTTATCGGGAAAAGCTTTTAGATTTGTGTCATGCTTTTCCAAATCAATTGATATGATCCGTTGGTTCTTACCCTTTATTTATGTGGTAAATTACATTGATTGTTTTCTAATGTTAAACCGTATTTGCATACTTGGTATGAATTCCACTTGGTCATGGTGTACTATTATTATTGTGTTAGAGCAGTGGTTCAATCTTCCTAATGCCGCAACCCTTTCATACAGTTCCTCATGTTGTGACCCCCAGCCATAAAATTATTTTTGTTGCTACTTCATAATTGTCATTTTGCTACTGTTAGGAATCGGGTGATCCCTGTGAAAGGGTTGTTTGACCCTCGAAGGGGTCACAACCCTCAGATTCAGAACTGCCGTGTTAGATTCTGTCGCATAGGATTTTGTTGAGATTTTTTTTTTATCTATTCACGGGGGATATTGGTTTATAATTTTTTTCTTTTAGTGATGCCCTTGCCTGGCTTTGGTACCAAGTTAATCATGACTTCATAGCATGAATTCAGGAATATTCCTTCCTATTCCATGCTCCGAAATAGTCTGAGCAGAATGGGCCAACTCGACCACCAGAGTGCTTTGTCGAACCCTCTGTGAAACTACCTGGGCCTGAACCTTTATTGTTGGAAGGGTTTATTTTGTTTTTAATGACCTATTCCGTTTCTTCTTTTATTATTAATCTGTTCAAATGTTCTACTTTATTACGTGTTAATTGAGAACTTTCTCTACCTACAACCATTCTGTGTAGGTTTTCAAATTTGTTGGATATAGTTCTTCATGATGTCCTGTTATTGTTACTTTTATTTCACTTAATCTAACATCACCCATTTCGTATCTCATTTGTGTTATTTGAATCTCTCTCTCTTTCTATTAATTTTGACAGTGGTGTGTCAATTTTATTAATCCTTTCAAATAACCACTTCTAATCTTATGGCTCCTTCTATTGTTTTCAGTTTCATTTGTTTCTTTTGTGACCGTGGACTTTATTTGCTGTCTTGTTGTATGTTCTAGATTTTAAGGGTAAAGTGCTGGTTTTAGCCCTTCCTGTTTGATATGTGCATTTATTGCTTCACATTGACCTCTGAGTCCTGTTTTGCTATGTCACAAAGGTTTTGGTGTATTGTGTTTTTATTCTCATTTATTCTAGGATTTTAAAATTTTTATTTCATTTTTCATTTCTTCTATTACTCAGTGGTTTTTAAGCAGAGTGTTATTCAATGCCCATATACTTGACATCCCTGTTAGGGATTTTTAGTTTTATAGCATTGTGTCTGAGAAGATAATTTATATTACTCCAAGGTTGTTTTGCTTTGTTGATGCTTGCCTCCGTTCTGGGGAATGATCCTTGTGCTGTGGAAATGAATGTCCACTGCCCTGTTGCTGGGTGAAGTCTTCTGTGTGTGTGTGAGCCCGCATTGGTTGATTGTGTTGTTTACATCGTCCACACCTTGAGAAACTCTTCTTGAGTTTCTTCCTAGCTGTTCTGCTCGTCATCCAGAGTGATTGAAGTCACCAGTATCATCATGAGATTGTCTTATTTCTCTTTTCTACTCTGTTGAAGTTTGTTTATGTTATTTTAAAGCTCTTTCATTAGGTTTATAGATACTTGTTATGGTCTTGCCCTCTTGTCAGATTGACCTTTCAATCATTTTGTAATGCTTTTCCTTGTCTCTTATGCTAACTTTTGCCATAAAGTCTAGAAATTGATACTGACTCCTGCTCTTTTTTGGTTGCTGTTTGCATGATATAGTTGTCATCCTTTTATTTTTAAGTTATGTAGGGAGCTTTAAAATGTTTGTGCAAAAGTTAAATTAAAAGATAGTATAATTTTTCTATGCACCTTTTAAAGCCCCTGTGTATTTATCTTTGTCTAAAGTGCATCTCTTCTGGACGGCACATTGATGGGCCCTGTTTTCTTATCCATCTGCCCATCTCTGTTTTTTGACTGGTGCATTGAATCCACTTATATATCTATAGGCATGAATTTGTTGCTGTCATTTTGTTGTTGGTGTGCATGTGTTGTTACATGTACTTTTCTGTACTGAGTCCTTTTTGTTTGTGTGTTTCCTTTGTTTCTATTTTTGTTTGTTTTTTTTTAAATCATTTTATTGGGGCTCTTACATCTCTTATCACAATCCATACATTCCTCCAATGTGTCAAACACATTTACACATTTTCTTTTTTCTTTTTTTAATTTAATCATTTTATTGGGGGCTCATACAACTCTTATCACAATCCATACATACACCCATTGGGTCAAGCACATTTGTACATTTGTTGACATCATCATTCTCGAAACATTTGGTTTCTGCTTGAGCCCTTGGTATCAGTTCCTCGTTTTTCCCTCCCAAGACACTCAATTTTTGTTAAGTGCTAACTGACTTGCCCCTTCCCCCCTCCCATCTTGGAAAGTTGGCTGCTAGTTGACCTGCCTGTTCTCCTTCCCCTGATGGGAAAGTCTCTGCTGGTGGTTAGTTTTAGAATGTACTCCCATGATCCCAGGTTCTGGACACCACAATTAGTTTTGGTTATTATTCAATATATCATTTGTTCTAATTATTTTCCAATATTGTTCCCTGCGATGTTGTAATCTGAATGGTGTAGTTAATCTTGTTATGGTAACCAGGATGTTATAATCAATTTTTGTGTAGTTTCTTTTAAAAAAAAAATCATTTTATTGGGGGCTCATACAACTCTTGCCATAATCATTTTCAAAGCATTTTCTTTCTACTTGAGCCCTTGGTATCAGCTCCTCCTCCTCTCGTTGTGACCCCTTGATAAATTATAAATTATTATTATTTTCATATCTTACACCATCTGCTGTCTCCCTTCACCCACATTTCTGTTGCTTGTCCCCTTGTGTGTGTGCGGTGGGGGGTGGGGTTTATACGTCCATCATTGTGATCATTCCCCCTTTCTCCCCGCACCTTCCCCCCACCCCCCCTACCCTCATGGTGTCACTACTTTCATTACTGTTCCTGATTCAGTGTGCCAAGAGCTCTTATCTGTACAGTGTACATGCGCTGGTCTAGCCAGATTTGCAAGGTAGGACTGGGATCATGATGAGGGGTGGAGGAGCATTAAGGAACTAGAGGAGTGTTGTGTGTTTCGTTGATGCTGTACTGCACCCTGGCTAGCTCGTCCCTTCCTTGTAACCCTTCTATGAGGGAATGTCCAATTGTCTACAAATGTGCTTTGGGTCTCCACTTCGACCCTTCTCATTTGCATTGATATGATTGTTTGTTTTGGGTGTTTCTATTGATTTTATGTTTACTGAATCTTTGTGATTTTCTTTTTATTTGAAGACTATTTATTAATTTTCTTTTGGGTTACCCTGAAATTTGCTTTTATCTTTCTCAGTTTATAGCAGTGTGTTCTTTCTTAATGCTGCCTTAACTTCCTCTCCATATGGAAGTTCTGTAACTGCACCATTTATCCCCTCTGATTTGATTGGCAGTGTTTTTAGAATAGGAGACTTAGTCTTTGTAAGTAAGCGTGAAGAATTTTCGCAGTTTGACAGTTTTACCATTATAATTTTTAAAATACCGTTTTTGAAGATCATTTCTTTTTAGTTGTCATAGAAATCATAAAGATTATTTTTCATGGCAGTTGATAAACTACGTTTCAGTTATCATTTCCAAATGCATAGACTGGATGGCCAAGCGTGTGGCCTTCCTTTGTCCTGCCTCAAACCCTTTCTCCTAAATTGCCTCTTGCCATTACTGTTGCTTCTCATTTTCTTTGCTATTAGACCTTTCCCGACTTCCTTTCAGAAACCACTTTCTCATTATATGGTAACTGCTCAGTTTCTACATTGTTGATCTACTTTTAAGTCTCTGAATAGCATGTGATATCAAATGTTGTAGCTTTCCACTTATTCTCTAGAAACAACTTATTGTTAAAGATAGGTAAGGAAAAGTTATCTTATGTGAGAATTTACTTGGATATTTTTTTCTTTAAAAATATTTTATTCTGTTTAGGTGAAAGTTTTTTTTTTTAAATCAATTTATTGGGGCTCATACAATTCATCACAATACACAGATCAATTGTGTAAAGCACATCTATACATTTGTTGCCCTCATTATTCCCAAAATTCGCTTTCCTCTTGGGTTCCCGGAATCAGCTCATTTTCCTTTTTTCCCCTCCCCCTCCCTTCCTCCTCCCCTCTCCCCCATGCACCCTTGATAATTTATAAATTATTATTGTATCTTATATTACACTGTCCGGCGTCTCCCGTCACCCACCCCTCTGCTGCCCGTCCCCCAGAGAGGAGGTTATATGTAGCTCCCTGTGATCCATTCCCCCTTTCTACACCCCCTTTCCCTCCTGGTATCGCCACTGTCACCCCTGGTCCTGAGAGGTTTACTTGGATTTTTAAAAACAATTTAATATCTTATTGCCTTCAACAATTTGCAAAAAATAATTAAATTTTTTTTCATCCTTTAGACTTTTGAAGATTTTAAAAATGACAAGCAAGCTGTGGAATATCAACAACGAATTGTGGATATTTTGTTGAAAGTAAGTATTTAAGGAATACATGACTTTAGTGATGCTTATATTAAGATCATTGATTATTTTGTAGCAAGTCGTAAAATACTCCTATTTAGTGTAAGAATAGGTTGCAATTATATTTTAAATCCTTTTTGATGAACCCTTTGTTCCCAAGAGCTGAATGAAATGCTAATCGTTCATTCAGACAACATTTAATATATCTCAGCTTTCTGCAGCACACAGGATGCTACTCTTGATAAATGCTTATTTTAACAACGGTTGTGTTCTTGTGATTACATGCAATGCTAGCCTCGAACTTCAGAGTGGTTTAAGGGAGTATCCATAAGAAGCATGCTCTCATCTCATACAGCAGCCGTCCCTATGCCGCCAAGGGAGGGCCATAGTTTTCCCATGGCCTTCAAGGGCCAGGCAGCACCCAGAGATGAGCTTCCAGTGCACGAGATCCAGCACACGGCTGGGTGGAGTTCCGTGCTGTTGCTCACGACTGAGTGCAGAGACAGGTTCCCTTCCTTTCATCTGCTCAGCTGCGGCCTGGCCAGTGTCGGCTTGCAGTTGAAAGCATGGCCTGTTCATTCTGCTCGTTTGGCTGTAAAATGGAGGTTCCTTCCCTTTAACAACTTCTACCTTATTCTCAACAACAGAGCTGACTTTTGATTAAAATGATCGCATCCTAGGAGCACAGGTTTTGGAGACCAAACTTAAAAGTTGTACGTAACATTCCTGCACTACATGTGCAGTAGTAGTTCTTTATCTTTTTCAAAGCACATGTCTTTACATTTGGTAACAGAGCTCCTCACTTTGTAGCTATTAACCTTGCAAATAAGCAGTGATAATATGAGAATAGGATTGCTAAAATCCCAAATAATTCCACTTCCATACTCGGTGGTTCTTATGGATCCAAAATGCCTTCCTAGAGGGTCTCCCTGTCTTTAATCTTTTTCTTTTTTGTTTTGTGATCTTGCCTCACCTCTGCCTGCTATTATTCGATGGCTCCTCATTGGATTAGGTGGAATTAAATCCTGCTGTGAGTGTAATGTAACACTCAAAATAACAATAATCATGGGAATTTATTTTTCTCAAGTAAGTCTGGGGTTAGGAAGTCTGATCTCATCAAATGGCTTCAGAGATACAGGTTTTACCAAGAAAACAGGTTTGATTCTGTGCTGCTGTTATCCAAGCACATGGATTCTGTCTTAGGGCACAGCCATCCCATGTTAATTCTGTCCAGCCTGGATTCAGGAAGAAGTGTTTCTTTTCTTAAAGGAAGTTTCTTAGAAGTTCTAAACTAAGCAGGTACATAAGCAAATGTGGTGAAGAAAGCTGATGGTGCCCAGCTATCAAAAGATATAGTTTCTGGGGTCTTAAAGGCTTGAAGATAAACAAGCGGCTGTCTAGCTGAGAAGCAACAAAGTCCACATGGAAGAAGCACACCAGCCTGTGTGATCACAAGGTGCCAAAGGGATCAGTTATCAGGCATCAGAAAACAAAAAATCATTATCAGTGGGTGCTCACCTCCCCGATACGATCGCTGAAGACAAATGGGTGCATAAGCAAATGTGATGAAGAAAGCTGATGGTGCCCAGCTATCAAAAGAGAGCGTTTGGAGTCTTAAAGGCTTGAAGGTAAACAAGTGGCCATCTAGCTCAGAAGCAACAAAGCCCACCTGGAAGAAACACACCAGCTTGTGTGATCATGAGGTGTCAAAGGGATCAGGGATCAGGTATCAAAAAACAAAAAGTCATATCATTGTGAATAAGGGGAGTACAGAGTGGGAACCCAAAGCCCATCTGTAGGCAACTGGATATCCCCTCACAGAAGGGTCACTGGGAGGAGACGAGCCAGTCAGGGTGCAGTGTAGCAACAATGAAACATACAACTTTCCTTTAGTTCCTAAATGCTCCCCTACCCCTACCCCCACTATCATGATCCAAATTTTTACAAATCTGGCTAGACCAGAGGATGTACACTGGTACAGATAGGAACTGAAAACACAGGAATCCAGGACGGATGATCCCTTCAGGACCAGTGGTGAGAGTGGCGATAATGGGAGGGTGGAGGGAGCGTGGGGTTGAAAGGGGGAACCAATTATAAGGATCTACATATAACCTCATCCCTCAGGAATAGACAACAGAAACGTGGGTGAAGGGAGATGGCAGAGAGTGTAAGATATGACAAAATAATAATTTATAAATTATCAAGGGTTCTTGAGGGAGAGGGGAGCAGGGGGGGAAATGAGCTCATGCCAGGGGCTTAAGTGGAGAGCAAATGTTTTGAGAATGATGAGGGCAACGAATGTACAAATGTGCTTTACACAATTGATATATGCATGGATTGTGATAAGAGTTGTATGAACCCCCAATAAAATGATTTTTTTAAAGTAGTTCTAAACTGTACTCCTTTTACATCATATTTATCAGAACTTAGATATATGGTTGCTTTAGCTGCTAAAAAGAAAGGTAACCTGTATTGTGGGTGATCCTGTGTTTAGCTACAAAGTAAGGAACTCTGTTACCAAGAAAGAAGGAAAAACATATATAATTACCAGGAGCAGTTTCTGTCACACCCATCTAAATGGTTTCCCGTGGCATCCACCTTCCTCCTGTGTTGTCTGGTCCCTGGTTTCTTTATAACTGTTCCTCTTTCCCACTTCAACATAGCCTGTGTAGTGTACTCTTCATATTAAATTATTGGAATTCACTGCCTCTCCATGTTGCCTTTATGACTGTACAGCCTTCATGTGGATTTCCATTCACCGTCATGCCTTTTCTTTCCCTTTCTGTAAGACTTTCCCCTGCTGTCTTCCATGCGAAACTGTTTGAACCCTCTCTAGCACTTTGCGTTTCTCTCTGTTCATGCCGTATTTTAATTGTCCACATGTATATTCTCCTCTCTGGATTGGAGCTTCTTGAAGGTAGAGACTGAAGATTTCTTTCATTAACTTTTGTTTGTTTGTCACTGTTTTAACATGACCACAATTTAGCACATTACATGAGACCTATTAGATATTCAGGAAATGTTTGCAAGTTGATTACATTTGACTTTGAATTTAAAGCTATACTAAATAGTACCAATGATCTAAATTAAGAGACCAAAGTTTATTAAGAACTTAGACTATTACTGCTGGTGAATTGCTGTTCTTGTGTGTTGTTAGTTTTTTTATTAAAAGGTCATTTTATTGGGGGCTCTTACAGCTCTTTTAACAAGCCATACATCAATCGTATCAAGCATATTTGTACATGTGTTGCCATCATTATTTTCTAGACATTTACTTTCTATTGAGCCCTTGATGTCAGCTCCTCTCCACCCCCACCCCCACCCCCATTGTGCGTTGTTTTAATAGAATTTACACTGGGTCATTGAGGAATGAACTTTTGAGATCATTTTTTCATTTCTGGGGGTAGAGATGCATTGACCTGTTAAAGGGTACATTTGAAGGAGCTAGTGACAGCAGTGTGCAGGCAGTGACCACTGGTCATCACAAGGACATCAAGCCTAGGACATTATGTGCGCTAAGTAGCTACAGACATGGAGTTACTTTGTACAAGAGTAACCGAAACTTTTGTAAACAGAACCTCTGAGATTCTTCGGTGTGTTAGGCCTGGTTGACTAGAGAAACGAATCCAGTGGGAATATTTTATAAGAGGAGAACTCTTAACATGATGCCTTTGAATGAAAGATGGAACGAGGAAGCTAAGACTTTTTAATGGATGAGACAGGGTAGAGTGTCCTGATTGCGGGCAGCTTTGCCCCATAAACTGAGCTAGTTGAAAACAACACGTGCGCCTCCTTCTCCTGCGCTTCTTTTCTGCCTTCTGGTTAATGGCATGTTAGCCACCTGCCACTCAGCCTGAAAGCCTGTCTTATTTATTCCTTCCCCCCTCCCCATTTCCATACACGAGTGCTTGTCCAACCCCCACTTGCTCGCAGTATCTGCTGTACTTGTTCCTGGAATTTTCCACGATCACGTTCCTAGTTCAGAACTCCTCTTTCCCTCCTTTGGTCCCCTCCAGTCATTTGCTTCTTTGTTCCCTGCCTTCTAGTGCTTTTTTTCTGTTGTTTCAGCCTGATCCCCGCTGATAGGATAATTTCCCTAAACACACCACACTGATCATGAGCATGCTCCTGGTTGAACACCATTAGAGGCCCCGCAGTTTCTATGGAATACATTCTGGATTCCCTCGGATGGCATTTGAGGCCTTAATCTTCCCTTTCAGCCAGCTTTTCACTCCTCAGGCATGCTTCTGATTCCTAATGAAACACATCATCCCCCAAGCCAAGCGGTCCTCTTCCTTGTCCACACCTTCCTGTGCCAGAATCTCCTTCTCTTTTCACACACCTTACAAGCTACACTTCTCATTCTTAACCCCTATCATGCTTCCATAGCCATTCGTGCCTTTATTTAAGTGTGGATCACATATGAAGCCCTGGAGTGTGGCGGTTACACATTGGGCTGCAATCCTCAGGGTCAGCAGTTCTAACCCACCAGCTGCTCTGCAGAAGAAAGATGGGGCTCTCTACTCCCATAAAGAGTTACAGTCTTGAAAACTCACAGGGATAGTTCCGCCCTGTACTATAGGGTTGCTGTGAGTTGGCATCAACTCATAGTGGCAGTGAGTTATAGTTTAGTAAGCACATTATGCTTTTATTAATACCTGTGTATCTACCTCACTGTTCTACCTGCACCAGCGTCTTATATACAGTAGGTACTCAGGAAAGAAGCAAAGTCATGACCATGATTCAGTAGCTGTGTGTGATGGTGAAAAACTCATCTCAAGGACCGCATGGTAGATAAGACTGAGGCCATTCTCTCAGTGGGGTATGTGCTAGTTCCCTTCCTCCTGGGAGACCTTTACTCTCCGCCAAAGCAACCACAGGCCTGCTTGAGTGGAGTTGTTTCCATATTCTGGGTCAAGGACGCTCTGTTAAGAATTCCAGAAGGAAACATAATTAATATTTCTTTGAAACCCTGCCACTGCCTCTCTAACAATTCAGTTCTCATCCAAGTTGTGCTGAGAAGTATCTCCAAAATCGTTCAGCGATTTTCCCTTTCAGAGTCTGCACGTAGCCACGCTGTGCCCCTCTCCTACGTGGGACTGCACACAACTGGTGCACGGTCCATAGAAGCGTCTTTTCATGAGCCTTCAGTAAGGAGGCTCCCCGTCCTCTCGCTGTGTGTGTGCGTGTTCTCCCTTTTTGGCAGACCAGATGGCGTGTTGAGTAAATGGTCTCTCCCTTCTCTTTCTGAAATCAGGTTATGGTGGAGAATTCAGACTTCACTCCCTCACAAGTAGGGTGTCTTTTTACATTCCTTGCTCGTCAGCTTGCGAAACCTGACAACACACTTTTTGTAAACAGAACCCTTTTTGATCAGGTAAGTGTCTTTAACAAGAAGAACTAGAATGATTTTTCTTCTGTTCACTGTTCATACAAGCTATCGGTTGATTACGTTGTCTCTTAAAGTGGTAGGCTTATTGTTTTATCTCGGAGAAGACTGTTTACCGTCTCAGTTTGGATTTAAGCTGGATTGTTGTTTTTATAGTGTGTTCTGGGTGTTTGGGAGCTTAAATTGGGTACCCTGTTTGCAGAAGGCTCTGGATGACCATAACAGTGAAAACCCAAAATGCATTTGCAGAGCTCCCACGTGGATTAAGCTCCGAGACCGGATTCCTTCGGATGACGAACGAGAGATGCGGAGCCCTGGTGGCATAGTGGTGACAAGTTGGGCTGCCAGAGCAGCAGTTTGAAACGAACAGCCGCTCACTGGGGTTCTTCTCCATACACAGTGACAGCCCGAGAAATCCAAGGGCAGCGCCACCCCCCTTACAGGGTCACTGAGTTGGAAATGACTCGATGGCAGTAGTTTGGGTTTGTGGTTTGGACTCATTAGGGACGAGAACAATCTTACCCTCAAGCAGTGTGCAGGGGAAAGTGGGTTTCCCCTACCCTCCTGCAGCCAGCCCAGGGAGGGGCCGTCTCCCTGGGGGGCTTGCCTGGGTGTGTCCTTGATGGACAGTCACATAGTTGTGAGTCATGCCCTATTGGCCCTGTCTGACTGCCTTGGTCAGAAGGCCCTGGACCAATCTGTGAGCTCTTCTGTCTTTAATGAGGTGCATGTCCCTGTCCCGCTTCTGTGGTCCCACCTGCAACTGCGATGTATAAATTTGCCACCAATCAGGAGTTTGTGACAGTGTCCTTTGTTCTGTGCTTATTTATCCACCGTCCTGGCTGTGCATCTCGGGATACCATTTTGGCCTTGTGCTAATGGGCTTCCTTATTCGGATGAAGTGTTTTTGTCTTTTAAGACTTACTAAATGTACACCTTACAGAGACTGGGGGCTCTTTTGTACCCTAAAACTTGGGCAGTATGATTTTGCCCAGTAACCTGGTATCATAGGAGTCTAGTTTGTGGGATTAGTTGAAAGAGATTCTCAACTAAATTGCCAATAATTCTTTACTCAAAAGTTTTCCCAATTAAGAATCACCCCACCTTACTGATAGTAAGGCTTGCTGATCTGCAGCTGGAGGAGAGAGCGCTTTGGGAAGATTGGAAATGACTTACAGGTGACTGCCTCTGGCGGTGCCTCCTGTCTTCTGTAGGTGGTAAAGCAAGTGCTCCATACCTGGAGAAGCAGTGACTAATAGTGGTGAACTTTCCATAGTCCCAGGAATCGTTCCAGAGCTCTGTATTAACCCAGCCCTCCCTCCTTCGTTCTGAAATAGATTGTGTTGTTATCCCCATTTTTTTCCAGCTTAGGAAACTAAAGCCTGGGGGGATTAAGTGACTCAGTCAAGGCCATACTTAGTGTTACTGCTAGCAGTAACTGCTGTTATTAAACGTTAATAAGGCTGGGGTTCAAATTCAAGTGACCTGACTCTAGGATGTCATCTGAATTTTTTTTTTCTTGATCCATGGGGCCAAGAAACTTAGGAACATGAGTGACGTTGCCTTCTAGTCATGCTTTTTAACAGTAAAGAACCAAAAGTAAGGTTTATATTAAATTGTTAACTGTTTGTGTGCCCCTGTCTGCTGTTTCACGTACAGAGACCCCACACCTGTGGTGTTGGTTATGGCAGAGGGTGTGCATTGGTGATATTAGAAGGGCAGGTACTATTGTTAGGACAGTGTTACAGGATGCATGTTGGTGTCCAACTAAAAACCCTCTCTCTTTGTCCAGGTCCTTGAATTCCTCTGCAGTCCTGATGATGACTCCCGGCACTCTGAAAGACAGCAGGTATGGGGGCCCTCGTTTTTGCTAAGGAATGAGCAAGATGACGAGTAAGACAGAGTGAACTCTTCCAAGACACAGAGGGAAGTGGCCTCTGCCGGCCCTGATACGAGGCTAAAGATAGTGGCAACCAGAAAATAGAGTGGATGATTGCTAGTGCGTGTCTGCCGAGCTTATTGCCATCTCCGTCCTCACTCACACTGGGCCCATCTCGCACGAAGCATGACATCAAAGAGACCGCTTCCGCCTTCTCCATTATGCAGCCACAGTTAGCACTTACTGTACCCTGTCTTCTACCGGGGTCCTTAATCTGGTGACCGCGGCTGCCTGCGGTGGCTCTGAACCTGAAAGCTGCAGGATCCCTAGGTTCTGAGGCATTCGACTTTTGGAAATTGTCCCCTGCCGCGCTGCTGAATGAGGGCTGAACGTTTCTGGAGACTGGCCTCCATCTGCCCCTCCAGAGACCACTGTGAGATAGAGCTGTTTGCTTGCACTTCTCTCCACTCAGGCCACTCCTGAGTGTCCCTTCTAGGAGGAGGTTTCCTTTAAAGCTCACCCACTATCATTGTGAGCACGAAAAGAGTCATCCGTTTAACATTGACAGCCAGACTTGGTCTGGTAAGTGCACTACAGAAATTAGACACTGAGAGCTGTGCTAAGTTTTTATGGTAATCACACACAGCTGGCCGTCGGGACCCCAATAAAGAACATAGTGACCCCTTTCTTTCTCGGCACAGCTACGGCCCAGTGCCTGCTGCCGAATGAGGAGGGAAAGCAGCTGCTAAAATGTTTGCTCATCTCTTTAAATGCTATTGACAACCAAGCATAAGGGGAGTCCGTTACCGTTATTCTCTCTCTCTGTTACCAGTAGTGCCGCATCTTGGTTCATGTGGCACCGCTATATAAAATAAGAACTAGCTCACTTAAAGCAGAAGCAAAACCCAAATATAAATGCAAAAGTTATGCTTTGAAAAGTAGTCTGAGTATGTTGACGTTAACAGAACTTGGAGCGCCCTGACACAATAAAGACATGTGCCCGAGCTTCATTTATCTGGCAGTGGCGTGATTACTTTGCTGAATCAATTTTGGAATACCGGGAGAAAATTTCCTCAGGGATTTTTCAGGGTGTGGGGTGGTGGTTATTTTACATTGTAACAGCTACAGACATGCACACTTTTTCTTTGATTTCCTTATTAGCACTTTTTCTAACCAGGCATTGGCAGGCTTTACTCTAAAGGGCTAGCTAATGATGATTTGGGCTTTGTGGGCCACTTTAAGGAGCCCTGGTGGTGATATAGCGGTGGCAATCAGCGTGGTTGGCAGTTTCTAAACCGTCAGCAGCTCTGAAGGAGAAAAATTGGGCTTTCTGTTATTGTAAACAGTCCCAGCCCCAGAAACCCACCGGGGGCTCCCTAGGAGTAAGATAGCAGTGAGTGTGGTTTTATTGTTGTTGGGCGGGAGTAGGGGGGGGAGCACATATAGTCTCTGTGACTTAATCTTTTTTGTTTGCTTGACAACCCTTTAAAACATAGGTTCCCAAATTCATTTGACCTACAGCCCCCTTTTCAGAAAAAAAAACAACTTACTCAGCAGCTCCTTGCCATTTAAAAAACGTTGTACTATTACCCATAATCTAGGACAAAGTGTAGTATCCTCTTTGGGAAGCCCTGCCTGTGTTAGTCTGGGTACACTAGAGAAACCAATCCATAGACACACTCATATGTGTATAAGGAGCTTTAAATGAAGAGTAATTATTCATTAAGAAAACATTCCAGCCCAGTCCAGATCAAGTCCATCAGTCTGATATTAGCCCAATTGTCTGAGACCAATCTATAAAGTCCTCTTCAGACTCAGGAAACACATGCAATGACACTGAATGCAGCAAGATCACAGGCCAGTGGGTGGGAAGTCTTGTGGATCCAGTGGTGTTATAAGCATCTCAGCACTGGCAGGGGTCTCCACGTGGCTTCTCCAGTTCCCAGGGCACGGGGTCTATCAGCATAGTGCCATGTGTCTTGTCAGTAGAGCACCTCTCAGGGGGAGTTGTGAGAATGTCTCCCACCTCCAAGTTGGAAATATAGGAATTCCCAGAATCCTCAGGGGAAGGCCATATCCTTGCAGAGGCTTCATTGGTTGTACAATGGTTGACAGGCTAGACTCCACCCCTTCGCTCATAATCCTCTCAAATTGACAACAAATTCTGTAACTACCACACTGCTCTAGATCGTTCCAGTGCCCCAGTGGGCAGCATGGCCCACTCTGGGAAACTCTGCTTTTAAAGCATTATAAAATTAAACTATGGGCCACAGCTTGCTAGCAATCAGCAAAGCAATACATGAAGCCCTAGTTTATAGCATTTACTAGTTTGCACAGCTAGCTTCAGCCCAGGAACATGTTATCCTTGAACATATAGCCAGGGAAAGGAATTGTGGTTACACACCCTTATAGGATATTTCCACTATCCAGATAGTATAAATAACCTTGAGCACAGATACCAATAAAATGTCATAAAACAACTAGGAAGTGGTTTTTTAAGCATAAATAACCTTCATTTTTAATGTAATTATAAATTGATATTTTTAAATCCTGGTTGTGTTTCATTAATGACCAGGATCTTAGTTTCTAAGTGCTGCTATAGCAAAAATACCACGATTGGATGACTTTCAAGAACCAAGTTATTATATCACGATTCTGGAGGCTGGAAGTGCAAATGCAGGGCTTCAACAAGAAGTCCAAGTCAAGGGATCAGCTCCAGGGAAAGTGCCGTCCGGACTCGGGCGGCCTCTGGCAGCCCTGGGCACTTGTTGGCATGTCTTGGTTTTTAGATGGACTACAAGGAACTCACCCATTTGTGACTCTTCTCTGCTCTGCTCTTTATGAGCTATCCTTCACTCAAGTGCGCCCTCATGGACGTAAAACCAGAAGGCCAGGTTCTCAAGCAGGGTCATATTCACAGATTCGGAAGTCAGCTCTTTGGAGAGACACAATTCGATCCAAAACAACCAATTGGCAAAATTCCTAAAAGTATAATAGTTCCAGTGAGTTGGAAAGACTGGCTTCAGCACTGGTGTTTCCGTATGTCATTCCAGATGGAAGCTTCCGGAAGATGTGACCGCTTTGATATTTATTCTGTTAGCACACTATATAGCACTCAAATTGGATTATATTGGGGTTCCCAAATACATAAAATTTGGATACGTTTTTTGTTTGTTTTGCTTTAAAAAAAATATTGTACTTGGTTCCATGGATTTCTGGAATTCTGATAAGGGACATATTTCTCTGTGTCCTGAATTTCATTTAAACACAGGAGAGAGCTTCCTGATATTGCTCTATTGATGGGACAGTGACTGTTGTTTGTTTTTATTTGACGTGTATTTTAAGATATTGATGAGTCAAGTTCAACATCTTAGTTGTGTTTTTATTCAGCTACTTAGAATGATAAAAACAAAAACAAACAAACACGAGCCTCAAATGTTTAGTTAGAAATGTGGGAAACTGAGAACCTGGAAGAGAGTGTATGTGGACAAATTCTCTACGCATATATTTAAGGTGTCTGAGAGGATGAGGCTCTAGTGGAGGGAGGCCTTCAGGTTTGTGAGCTGGAGCTGAATCCTAGTCACATTCTTCTAATGAAAAGTTATTCCCCACGTGTCCCCCTGAAGTAATACCAATTTTTAAGATGCTTTTACAAGCACATGGTCACTTACCATATACTTGAAGGTTATCTGCCATAGAGAGCAGTCTGACCCTTTTGTCTGCCATACCCTAAGACGGGACACGAAGTACAGCCCGCTCCCTTCTGATACTGATCACAGATTGTTCCCCTGGAGAAGAGCTCAGGGACACCTAAGGTCAAGCCAGCTCGGGGACGACCAACGTTAAGCCACCATCTTCACTCTAGGACCTGCCCATCCTGTTAAATGTGTGCCTTCCTGCCACATTGATGCCCCTAGTACCCCCCTTTCCTATGACCTGTAGGCCTCTGGCACAGGTATGTGTATGTGTGGTCTGCACGCCCCAAGATTTTATACGCCCGTGAAGAGTGCATTCGCGCGCTCTCCATGGAAGAGGTGAGCCCTTGCCTGTTCTGTCATTGTCTTTTGTTTCTTTCCTTTTAATGACACAACAGCTCTTTAGGACCCTATTGGTGGTGGAGGCTGGTCCCCCACATAGGAACAGTCGCAAGTTGACAGTAGACTTCAAAGAACTGTAAAACATAAAACCACCAGAGAAAAACTCGCTTCTTGAAAGAAAGCCTACAGTAGGGCATTTTTAGTCACTGCAATCAGGTTGATGTCAACTCAAGGACCCTGTAGGAAAAGTAAAATTGCTCCTCAGGGTTTCTGAGGCTGTTAGTCTTTATGGGATCAGACTGAGGGTACATACCTCCCCACCAAGAGCTAGTGGACTCAAACCACTGACCTCTCTCCAACCTAACAATTAACCCTTTGTGCGCCCAGTGCTCCCTTGGGCTTAGTGTAGGATTAATTAAAAATTCTAATAGGACTTTTGATTTTTATAATCATTGTGGTATTCCTTTCATTTGTGAAAAAGAAATTGTGCTTCTTTTCATAAGACTAACATATAGTGCAATCAACATTATAATGCTTATCTGACCCTTGATGTACCTGAAACGAAGCCAAGTATCAATTAAGTTGATTCAAAAATAAAAGTTAGAGTCTGCTTGCCGGCAAGGGTCCTTAAAGAGGCAGTAAGTAACAGTCCAGAGTGTGCTAATGGTGTGTTTTGAAATGTGCAGGTGCTTTTAGAACTGCTGCACGCTGGAGGCACAGTTCAGTTTGAAGAGAGTCGACTGATCCGCATGGCAGAAAAAGCGGAGTTGTAAGTTGCTTTGAAGCCATATGTTAGTTTCCCATAAAACGATCAAATTATATTTCTCTGACTTGAAACCCAGCTTGTGAATGCATGGCTGCCTTTTTAATAATTGAAAATTATGAAAATAGGAGCAAAACCTAAGTGTAAATGTTTTTGCCTTTCTATTGAAATCTAGAAATTCGTAAAATTTGCAGAAATTTATGATGCATAAATGTGAAGTGTTTTCTATACTTGTTTTAGTATAAAAGTGAAATCTTGTGTTTTATTAGTTTATAGAATGGAATTGAAAGATAATGGATTTTTTCCATGAAGTTTTTGAAGTCCTTCTGTGTATCTTATTTAGAATGTCCATGATACTTTCTATATTTTTAGCAGTTATATATTTATTAACAATGCAAAGTTAACAACAAATAGGATGTGAGATGCTGATTTCACTGGTATTATCTAGTTTTGTTGACATTGTTTTCTTTGACATATGAGTATTTAATGCTGAACAATGAAAGACTCTTCATGTAAAATTTTTATGAGACAGTAATGGATGTTTAGCCTATTAACTATATTTTGTGTGACTGGGTGTTGCCTTGTACCAGGGTTTGATATTTCCTATAAACATAGTATGCAGCCGCATCTTAAACCTATGGTTAGAGAAATGGGAAGTATACAACACCTGTGACATTCTGCAGCCTTCATTGAACAGCAGAAATCACATATACTATATTCATTATCCATGATACTAACGTATATGCTGGAGAAAGGGTCTCAAAGCAATGAGCTAATACCCACCCACCTGTCTAGTACAATGACATTTCTCTTGTACATTCTAGCTACCAAATTTGTGAGTTTATGTATGAGCGAGACCACCAGTATGACAAGATTATTGATTGCTACTTACGTGACCCTCTGAGGGAGGTGAGTTGAGAGACTGATTGATTCTCTTTTGTTACTTAATCATTTCTTTATTGAGTGAAAAACTGTTCAGTAGTTATAACTATTCAATAGATATATTTAGACAGGCTTTACTGGTACAAAGTTTTCTTCACTTAAATACGTTACTAAGGAATAACTTTTTAAAAAATCATTTTATTAGTTCATACAACTCTTATCACAATCCATACATACATCAATTGTGTAAAGCACATTTGTACATTCATTGCCCTCATCATTCTCAAAACATTTGTTCTCCACTTCAGCTCCTCATTTTTTCCCCTCCCTCCCCACTCAGCCCTCCCTCATGAACCCTTGATAATTTATAAATTATTATTTTGTCATATCTTACACTGTCTGATGTCTCCTTTCACCCACTTTTCTGTTGTCCTTCCTCCAGGGAAGAGGTTATATGTAGATCCTTGTAATGTGTTCCCCCTTTCCACCCTACCCTCCCTCCAACCTCCCGGCATTATCACTCTCACCACTGGTCCTGAAGGGATCATTGCCCCGGATTCCCTGTATTTCCAGTTCCTATCTGTGCCAGTATACATCCTCTGGTCTAGCTAGATTTGTAAGGTAGAATTGGGATCATGATAGTGGGGAGGGAGAAAGCATTTAAGAACTAGAGGAAAGTTGTATGTTTCATCGTTGCTACAATGCTCCCTGACTGGCTCGTCTCCTCCCCAAGACCCTTCTGTAAGGGGATGTCCAATTGCCTGTAGATAGGCTTTGGGTCTCTACTCCACACTCCCCCTCAGTCACAATGATATGAATGTTTTGTTCTGATGATGCCTGATCCCTTCGACACCTCGTGATTGCACAGGCTGATGTGCTTCTTCCATGTGGGCTTTGTTACTTCTGAGCTAGATGACCGCTTGTTTACCTTCAAGCCTCTAAGACCCCAGACACTATATCTTTTGATAGTCGGGCACCATCAGCTTTCTTCACCACATTTGCTTATGCATCTGCTTTGTCTTCAACGATTGTGTCGGGAAGGTGAACATCATGGAATGCCAGTTTAATAGAACCAAGTATTCTTCCATTAAGGGAGTACTTGAGTGGAGGCCCAATGTCCATCTGCTACCTTAATACTAAACCTATAAATATATGCACATAGATCTATTTCCACATCCTCATGTATAAATATAGTTACGTATGTACGTGCCTGTATTTAGACCTCTATAAATGCCCTTTACCTCCTAGCTCTTTCCTCTATTTCCTTTTAACTAAGTAATAACTTTTATTGTGTACCTGGATAACAAATGTCAAAGACATGTAGTACCTGCAGTCTTGAAGCTATATTTTGCGTGGAGTCTGACAGTTAACAAACAAACGAAAAACCACATTAATAACTACAAGTTGTACTAAGTTCTAGGAAAAATAAAACAGTGCAACTTCATACGAGAGTGGGAAACTGACTTACACAGACTGACCAGGGAGGTAACCTCAACGAGAGTGACAGAAACCAAGTTTTGTAATTTGAGAAGTAGTCACCCAAGCAAAGAGTGAAAGAAAAGCGTTCCAGGATTAGGAACAGTCAGTGGCCTTCAGGTGGGACATTTGTTCACACCTTCACGGAACCAAGTAGAGAGCTCGTAGCTGAAGCGAAGAGCCTGATAGACAAGTCCAAGGAGGACTCGAGGTGAAATTGGCAATGTGGGCAACAGCCACCAAAGACAAAAACTAATCTAATTTCATCAAATCATTAGAGGTCAGTAATTGACACCGAAATTAATTGGAGCAAGTGTGTAACTCTTATAACTGTACTCTAAATTGTAAGTGGTTACGTTTTAGTGTCAGTACCCATCTGCTAACTACCCCCACATGGTTTCCATGTCCATATTCTAGATGTTTACCAAGGCTGTTACAAATAGTAGAAGGTGACCACATATTGCTTGAGTGAATGAATGGATAAAAGTATATTTGTCTTGTGTTCTTCAGGAAGAAGTCTTTAATTATATTCACAATATCCTATCCATTCCTGGACACAGTGCAGAGGAAAAGCATTCTGTGTGGCAGAAAGCAATGGATCATATTGAGGTATGGATTCACCAATTAAAAAAATTTGGGGGGTATAAACAATTAGTTAATTGAGTAGTCTCAATTCAGTGAAAGTGTGTGGTAGTTGCATAATCGGTTGTCATTTTGAGACTTGAGAGTGGAGGGGTGGAGTCTAGCCGGTCAGTCGGGTTTCAGCTTGATGACCTCACTTGGAGGCGTGAAGGAGATATATAGCTCACTGGAGGCGGGACACACACTCACTCCCTGCGAGACATTACTGACGACGAGCCTGATGGAGCTATGCTGATGCAGCCAGAGCCCTGGAGCTGGAGGAGCCACGTGGAGACCCCTGCCAGCACTGAGATGCTACCACTGCCGCTGGATGCACAAGACTTTCCACCCACTGGCCTGTGATCTTCCTGCATTTGGCATTATTGCATGGTTGCATGAGTCTAAAGAGGAATTTATGGACTAGTATTGGACATATGGGCTTATACTGGATTTATGGACTTGATCTGGACTGGGCTGGGATGTTTTCTCAATATTCAACTACTCTTTATAAAGCTCTTTCCTATACATGTATGAGTCTCCCTGGATTTGTTTCTCTAGTCAACCCAGATTAACACAAAGTATAAACATAAAATTGTTTTTAATTTGCATTAGCTTTGTTCTCAGACATGCTATGTCATATCTCCCTGTCATATCCCTTCTTGACATCTTGGGAAGACTCCATAATTTTCTGGTTATTATCATTTGAGGAAAAGTTTACAGAGAAAATTAGTATCCTGTTCACTTATTTATACATACTTTGTTTCATGGCATTGTTTACCATCTCCTCAATGTGTAGCATTCTTCCCGCTTCCTCTGTGGATTTCTGGTTCCCGTCCTTCGTTCCTGCCCCGTCCTGCCTTCTGATTGTTTTTGGCCACACGCTAACCTTTGGGTCTGGCATGCTGTACTGTAGTGAGGAGTCCTTGCCACTTGCTACTACTACTTCTGTTAGTGTCTGTGAGAGTCTTTTGTTTGACCGAAAGTTAGCGTCTGTGAGAGTCTTTTGTTTGACCGAAAGTTGATCCCTGGCAATTTCAGACTTGAAGGGAACCTAAGGCCACCGTCTCAGGGATTCCACCAGTCTCCATCTGACCAGTAAATCTGTTTTTTTCTGTTTTTGAATGTTCAAGAAAAAAAATGTTAGACTTCCTCATTTGAACCGATATCTCCCAAATTCACTGTGTTAACTCACCAATGGCAGATGTCATTATTGATTTATTTGTCATTTTTGTATCATTTATTCTATCCCATATTCATAAAACATATGTAATTTATTATATTTAACTGCTTATATTCCATCAGTGAGTGACAAACTGGAATGTTAGTAGGTTTTTACAAAGCTCTTAGAAGGCTCTGGTCTTTGCCTACTAGAATACGGAAGCCATTCCCTCCAGTCACTCAGGGAATTTTAGAAACTACTGTGATGGGTTGTTCTCTCTGTTCTGTTTCCCTCCCTTCTGACACAGAACAGTGATTATAGCTTAGCTATGGTCAACCGACTCACCAAAATTCCTTTTACAAAGGATTCAAGTTGGCTTTAGTATTAAAGCTCTTTTTACGGCACGATTGCATAGACCTGAAGGAAGAGACAAACACACGTGTGATGAGCATGTGCTCAGACTGTTCTGAACGAGGCTCAAGGACCCTGTCATTTGAGTGCCTGAGCTCCACAGCACACTGCTCCCTCAGAACCAGCACAGCCTGTCTGAGGTCCACAGCACACTGCTCCCTCAGAACCAACAGAGTCTGTCTGAGCTCCACAGCACACTGCTACCTCAGAACCAACAGCGCCTGTCTGAGCTCCACAGCACACTGCTCCCTCAGAACCAACAGAGTCTGTCTGAGGTCCACAGCACACTGCTCCCTCAGAACCAACAGAGCCTGTCTGAGGTCCACAGCACACTGCTCCCTCAGAACCAACAGAGTCTGTCTGAGGTCCACAGCACACTACTCCCTCAGAACCAACAGAGCCTGTCTGAGCTCCACAGCACACTGCTTCCCTCAGAACCAACAGAGCCTGTCCACAGCACACTGCTTCCTCAGAACCAACAGAGCCTGTCCACAGCACACTGCTACCTCAGAACCAAGAGTGGGCAGTTTTTTTTAATCAGTGCTGTTTTATTGGGTCCCTGCTGACTGACAACAAGTAGTAAGAAAAGATACAGAATTATCCTCGTTTGGGAAATAGCCATTTCTTTCGTTCCTCACGTAGCAAGGATCAAGAGAAGAGCCAACATTTGGTGATGGGTTTAGAGATGTAGTGAAAAAAGGATTGCTCAAGTGTTTATAGGTGGTTTTATTCTCTGCGTATGAAAAATGATCAAGGATGAGCTCTGAAAGTTGAGAGAGCATTGCAGCTTTGTTTGAGTTGCTGACGACCGTGAAGCGTAGGGAGAGCAGATAGGCGGACAGCCCCGTAAGTGGGACATCTGGAGTGAAAGGTGGCACAGTCTGAAGTAATTCCCACACTTTCATCTGTGGCATTGAGAACATGGTATTACTTAATGCTATCATATTCCTGCTAGTACAACGTGAATATATCTTCATGAAAGACCCCAGCAAGACCTTCTGTTTTGAGTTTTATCTTTTCTTCCTTTAATCATTTAGTGTTCTTTTCCCTTTCATCATCCTCTTTAAGTCTCCATAGTTACCACGCGGCTCCTTCTTCATTTCACCTCATCTGCATTATGCAATGGTGCACACACATGGACTCCAGACCACAGAAACGAAGCTGTGTGTCTCTGCATAATGTGAAGCTTGATGCATTCATCCACGAGCGAACACATGACTCGGCCGAAATCGCAGGCTGGCGAACCTGCATTAAATATGCATGATGAGTGTTTTCCCCACATCTGCACATTCTTACACCTTGACCCTTTTACTGTCTCTTACGGCCACTATTACAAATATGGAGACTTTTTATGGAAAGACTTCTGTGTCAGTAATGTTAATGAAATCAAGATTCAATCTATGGGGGGGGGTGGGATTGGAATCATGACAATGTGTAGATTGGTGTTGCTCAGCGTTTTCTGGGTTCTAGACCTCTTTGAGATGCTGATGAAAGAGTTAGGCCTGTGTTTCTTTATATTGCCCACGTGCATGGAAACATAGTTTTTGTTACAAATACGTATCAAGCCCAATCCATTGTGCTCCCATCAACCTCAACTCCAGGACTCATGCAGGTGTCACCAAACTCAAAACCAATTCTGCTGTCCTCAAGTCAATTCTGGCTCATAGTGACCCTCTCTAAGGATTTCCAGGAACGGAATCTTCGTAGGTGTAACCAGCCTCATCTTTCTCCCACAGCTCGTGGGTTTGAGCCTCCTGCCTGGCACCGACACAAGCTCAAGAAACTCACTACTGTCAAGTTAATTCCCACTCATAGGAACTGTATGGGTTACTAAAGCAGTATCTGCGATACATTTTATTGATTGAGGTTCTTGTTGAATGTTGCAGAGCTGCCCAACTGAATCTTGATTTATGACCCTTTTATTTATTACTGGATTTAGTTTGCTTAAATTTTATTTAGGATGTTTATATCAATGTTCATGATTAAATAACACACGAATAATCTTCAGGAACCTATAATTTGCCTTTCTCTTATTTTCCTTTTGCGATTTGGTCCCAAGATTTTGCTAGCCTTATAAAATGAACTGAAGAGCCTCCTTTTTCACTGTTTTCTGGAAAAGGCTATTTAATATTGGAATTCTTTTTAAATTGTGAATTGGGCCAAGGTGTACTGGTTCAGTGACGTAGATTACAATCCCCACGGTGTAATGGCCCTCATCCCACACCCTCCCTGTGCTTCCTGTTTCCATCCTCCTCCTCCAAACTCCTCTGAGCTTTGTCCTTGGGGAAATGCTGCCCTTTGATCTCCAATGTTGGCCATGCTGCTGTGTGCATTCCTCCCTAGTGTTACTGTTCCTCTGATAGGCCTGTTGTTTGCCTGAAAATGGAGCCAGGGAGTAAATTCATTTATAGAGAGAGACCAAAAAGGGTGACGTATGGCCAGTCTTGAGGGTCTCGCCAGTCTCTGGCTGACCCCTAAGCCTGTGTGCGTGCGTGCGTGCGTGTGTGTGTGTGTGTGTGTGTGTAATTATGTGTGTGTGTGTAATTTGTTCCATCTTTTCTCCCAGGACCCTCTATAGTGTGATCCCTTCCAGAGTGGTTGGTGGTGGTTGCTGAGCATCATCGAATTATTTAGTGTCAGGGTCATGAAGATTGATATTTTTGTGGTCCCTTAGTCTCTTAGATTAATTGTTTCCATGTATCTTCCATTTTCTTTACTCTTCTGTCCTCTGGACAGGGAGAAGCTAATCGTTGTACCTTAAATAGCCAAATGGCTGCTGTGTTAGTCTGGGTTGACTGAGGAAGCAATCCAGTGACGCTCACATATGTGTCAAAAAGAGCTTTATATCAAGAACGAATTATGCATCGAGAAAACATCCCAGCCCAGTCCAACTCAAGTCAGTAAGTCCGATACCAGTCCGTAAGTCCCTCTTCAGACTCACGCAGCCACATGCAGTGATGCAAATTCAGGAAGAGCACTGGCCGGTGGGTGCAGGGTTGCATGTATCCAGTGGCGGTGGCCACATCACAGGGCTTGCACAGGTCTCAGCATGGCTTGTCAACAGGAAGGTGAAGGTAGAAAGAGAGGAGGAGGCTCCCAGGACCCTTCTTATGAGAAAGTCACACCCACAAGGAGGCACCACCAGGCTGCGACCTGATTGACAGGCTAGACTCCACCCCTATACTTTGTATGACTACCACAGCTGCTCATGTGTTACGAAGACCCCACAGTTACCTCATTAAAGTAGCATGTAGAGCATAGTTGTGGTGACCTGTGTCATTGCCAGTTGACCCTGCTGTTTACTGAAACTGCGCTTGTAATCCTTCAGGACTAGCAACTTATCACCTTAGGGTGCTTGGCTAGGTTTAAGGAGTGTTCATCATTTGCCCCCAGTGTGCTCCATCACATTCATGGATGTATTTGTAGCAAAGGTAAATACCCGCATACAAACATCCTCTCAAACCTGTGTTATTCGAAGATTACCATTATTGCAGCATTGCATATGCAACAGCATTTATCTCGGTTGCCCTTAACTTTTACCCTCCTTCCAGTGTCTTTCTGTGCCTGCATTGTTATGTTTTCTGTGTGCCAACTTCCCTCTTTTCCATTCATCCAGGTTAATGCATGTCTACCCTCCAGCCAGTTACTCCTCTCCCTTCCCCTCCAACCCCAGTACCATCAATTAAGGCTTCTTTTATGTGAAAACCTTCTCTTAACTTTTTACACTAGTGTTTCTAAATATGTGTCTTTTTGTGATTGACAATTTCACTCAGCAAAATGTCCGCCAGGTTTATCCATAGTAAAAGGGTTTTTGTTTGTTTTTTCAATGTATCATTATTCTTAAAAGTTGTTAAGTATTCCGTTGTATTTCTGAACCATAGTTTACCCATTCTTCACTTGATGGGCATTAAGGTTGTGTCCATCTTTCAGCGATGCTGCATGGTGCTGCGGTGAACATGGATGTGCATCTATCTACTCGTGTCATGGCTCTTGCTTCTGTAGGTCGTATGGTATTTGTGTTTCCAGCATTTTGAGGATGCTCCCTACTGTTTCCCAGGGTGTTGCACCATTCTACAGTCCCACCACCTGGGTGTGAGCTTCGGTCTCTCCACACCCTTGCCAGCAGTGGTGTTTTCTGGTTTTTTATTTTTGAACTATGCTATTAATGTTGGGGGAGATGGTGTCTCTTTGTTTGAATTGCATCTCTCTAACGGCGAATGATTGCCATCAACTCTTCATCCATTTCTTGGCCTCCTCGATGCCTTCTTTCATGAACTGAGTGTTCCTGGGTGTTCCTCTGCAGATTTCTAATGGGATTATTTGTCTTTTTCTTACTGAACTTTCAGTTGAACTCTGTAGTGAAACTGTGTGGGGCTGGAGTTCTATGTGGAATGATTTTTGATGAGTCATTCAATTTCTTAAATGGTTAAAGATTAACTTTGTTTTTTTATTTCTTTCTGAGCTTTTTTCTTAAATTTTAGGAATTTATCAATTTTGTCTCAAGTAAATTTTTCCATATATTCATTCATTATAGCATCTGCTCTTTTTAATATCTGCAGATCTGTAGAAATAGCCCCTTCTCCATTTGTGATATTAGTTGTGCCTTCTCTCTTTTATGAAATTGTACAAACGTAGTATAAATTACACTTGCTCATGTCAGTAAATTAATCTATAACTATTATTATCAAACAGCAATTTTTGACAATATAATGATTATTGCAGTCATAACGTGCCTACTTTTTGTTTGACAACATGCTCTGTGTATTGTATGTGTGATCCTTCCCTTTCAGCGTGTGGCGCATGCTTGTCTCTGCTCACAGTGTGCCCACAGCAAGGGGCGGGTGAAGAGGTGGAACCGGAGGTGCTGGGGCCCACATGGCAGGAAGAAAAGGGTAGTCCAGAGCAGCAAGGACTGCATAACAAGGGGAGGGAGATGGAAAGTTTTACCTTTGGCAGAAATAGGTCTGATTAACACGGATGATAGCCATCAACATTTTAGTTCCATTTGAGATTAATGACCGCCAGTTGATTTCTTGGGACAGTTCCAGTGTCTAAACTTACTAGGTACTAGCAGTAAAGTTTCAGGATTTGTAGCCAGAGAAATTACAATTACACTCCTGTTTTCATTTCTTCAAGTTATTACTTTAAGCTCAAGGGTGAAATTCACTGACAGGGAATTTGGGGAGCTTTCGTTCCTTCTGTTCATCCTGCAGAGATCATGGCCTGCGTCCAGAGCTGCAGTGCTTTCATTTTCTAAGAGTCCTGAATTCCCTCCCCCGCTTCCATCCTAGTCTGTTTTATGTGGCGCATTTCCAGTTGTGCTCCTGTGCCCTCTGAAACGAGCCCTGTGCCCTGGTCTCCTGAAGCGCCGTGTGTCAGTGTCACGGCAGCTCGTCACCCTCACCCCATGATTGGGATGTTCCATTTAACTCGACCTTAGACATGACCTTGTCTCTTTCTTCCACTCTAGGAACTCGTGTCCCTGAGGCCCTGCAAAGCTGCAGAGCTGGTCGCCACCCACTTTTCCGGACAGATTGAAGCAGTCATTAAAAAACTGCAGGTAACTCATCAAAATATAGGAGGAAAAACATCATCTCGTGGAGAAACAAGGACTGACTCTCAGAGAGCCTGTGATGGTGGTAGTTTCTGTGAGTGTATGTCAGCTGACATTGAGTAACCACTTGTACTGTGTGTGTGTGTTACTCTGAGTCTAGAAACGAGGGAGTTCACCTTCGTCGATAACGGATACTAACCTCAATCAAACATTTTTGGCACTATGATCTGTACTTCAGGCCACGGAAGATCACCTTTTTCAGCCATGTTCTTCCCGATAGGAAGTACTCCTCGGTTCCTGTGGAGGTGCATCGTTGTCCAAATCTGCACCCTTTTATTATTGTTGCCGCCCAACAACCCTATGTCCCACCAGAATGAAGCCAGTCCTGTGCCAGCCTCACTGCTGCCGTGAGGTCTGAGCCAACAGACAGGGGCTGTTCTGATTATTTAGACTTTTTAATGCAAATCGTACCTAGAACTTAGCTATATTAATGTTGATTATAAAGAAGCTCAGTTTGAAATTTGAATGGCCCCAATATTCCACTTATCACTAAAGCTACTCCTTATCGACTAGCTTGTTATATGACATTTCATATTTACAGTAATAGTAAAAAATCTACGGTTTGGCTGTTTTGTGCACTAATGGCAGATATCCAGCAGTAATGAGCAATAGTGACATTGGCTGTGACATTTAAGATTATGTGTCTGTTTGACTGGGCTGTGATTCTTACTGATTTAGCAGGTATGCCATGATGTCATTTGGCAGTTATGTAATGATGTAGTCATCCTCCATTTTGTGATCTGATGTGCTCATCTTCCATTTTCTCTTAATGCCAGTTTTAGCATAATGGCCAGGTTTCTGTAACCTAATCATGTCGATCAGCGAGGAGTAGGTGTACTATATCAGCACTGTAGAAGTGTTCTGCTCACTGGTGTTCCAGGCACAAGAGAGCCTGGTAGGCAATAGGATGGTACCAGGGAAGTGAAGCATCATTTTCAAGTATCAGCAAAACTGGGAGGGAATCCGTATGTAGGAAGGAAACCAGAACACTGTGTGGGAGGCAACTTATATCATGTGGATGCCATTCGTTCACTTAAATACTTGCTATGGTCCCACCCTGTACCACGGTGTACTCGACCCTAGGGCACAAAGGAAGAGCACTGTCTGTCCTTTCATTTTCCCTGTGGTGCAGAGAAGCATCTACCTGACTGCTGCCCCATCTTGTAAGAGCTGGACCAGAAATAAGTGACGGTGCGTGCTGTGGGATCAGCAGGAGAGAATGCTGGCCCGACTGTACAGAAGGGCTTTGGAAAGTTGATGGAAAATATCCTTCATCTTTTAATTGCATTTTTCCATGAACTTTCTGAAGCCCTCTCGTGTGGTTCTAAGTTCTTACTGGAGAATTAAGTTTGTGTAAGAAGAAGAATGGCATTATTAGAGTCCTTTTATAGAAAATTATTTCTGGGTTGCAGTGCAGAGAAGAGACCAGTAAGGAGAATAAGGAGAGAGACCATTCAGAAGTTGAGAGTTCGGGGTGACGGGTGGTAAGGACCCAGGGCTAAGTCATGGTGGACTGACATGGGGAGGCTTGTTGTTGAGTGTGATGAAAGGAGTGAAAACTGACTCCCAGACTCCGACCTTGGTCATCCGGCATGGTGAGGCCGTTTACTCAAGAGCTTGAGTCTTCCATTCGTACTATAAATACTGCTTTGGCCAAATTAACCAACTGCTGAGTGCGGGTACAAAAACTCTGTGTTCCTTGCCCTGAAGGACAAAAGCAGATAAGCCAAAAGACAGTGTTGGCGTGCTGTGACTTGAATGGTGGTAAGGTCCTGCCCAGGATTCATCCTAGTGAGGAGCACTCAGGGCGTCCTCTGTGCTAAAACAACTCTAGAACCACTGAGCCTCTCGATGCTTAAGAAGTTGGCAGTTTTAGCGAGTCTTCTTGCCCATGTTGTTGTTGTTGTTTAAAATGTAAAATTGTGAATTGGAGAATTTTCTTTTTCATTTTGTCACTAAGACATTAACAGGCTTAGAGGCCCAGAAAATGAGTATAGTATCAATCATCAGACAAATATGTGAAGGCTGAAGTGTAGTGAATAGAAGCAGGTGGCTATTAGTGAAGTATTTTATTGCAAAGTCCTATTGATTTCTGCAGGAAATTTGCCTGGGCCTTATAAAGTATTTTTACTTTTAGAGCAGAAACATGCTTCTGACCAATTGTCTTCAGAATTCTAGAAGTGAGAAATAAGCTAACTTATGGGATCTCCAACAGTGGGAAGATTGTATAAAGTAAAACAAAGCTGTAGGCCGGGGGGAGATAAAATGTCAAATATAAATATATTTTGAAGCTCCAATTCTAAAAGTTATTTATCCTTTTCAGTGTTGAGAGTCCCCTGCTTTTCATAGTTAAAATTTGAATATGTACACATACAAAATAAATCAAAACCCAAATAAGATAAACATGACCATTAGTCATTTTTGTTTAAGTTTATAAAGACTTGGAAACATTACTTATACTGATATTCTAAGTATTCTTAGCTTTATTTCATTTAATCCTATTCAGTGAATTCATTACTAGCCTATTGTTTTCCTTTTCCCATAAGGAAATTCAATTGCTAAGAGGGTAAGTGCCTGCCACAGAGTCACGTGTCTAAGTCAGAAACCAAAACCACATCCACTGCCACCAGTCCCTGCTAATATCGACCCTGTATCGGCTTTCAGAGGCTGTCAATCTTGCTGGGAGCTGACAGACTCATCTCTCTCCCTCAGAGTGACTGGTGGGTTTGAATCAGGGACCTTGCAACCTGGGAGCACCAACAGGACTCCTGAAGTCAGAAAAAGAACCCACGTCTTTGGCATTACCTGCAAACCTGCTGCAGTTTCTTGCCTTCTTATCTTTGGTTGGATTATATTGTGGAGTTAATGAGCACTTTTTGGTTAGTTTGGGGCTCAAACTCCCACCTTCCTAGATTAAGGATCGCACCGTAAGCCATTTTACAAGGAGGATGCTGTGAGGTAGTACGACACCCCTCCGTGCAGCCAGCATTTATTCTAGCTGACCAACTCAGAGCCCCGCTTCCTTTTGAAGGTCCTCGTGCTGGGACAGCTCAGAATTTTCCTTGAGAGAGGTGTGTGGGAAAGAGTGTGTGGAAGTGAGTGTGTGTATATACCCACTGCATACAAAACTGAATGGGGGTCTATGATTAGAGATGCCAAGAAGAATGGCAAGGACCTCCCGATGAACCTGGGTTGGGTCATCGACATGGGCACTTGAAACGGGTGGCGGTTCTTGACCATGCACAGTGTGAAGAACTGTGCTCGCGTTTAAATGTGTTTTTATTGTTTTCTATTCAGAACCAGCTTTTGCTTTTCAAGTTTTTGAGGAGCCTTCTCGACCCAAGGTATGTAAATAAACTTCAGTTTTTCATAATACACAGATCAGTTGAGGTTAGGAAAATGACCCACAGTAGCCAAGTAGTGCTGCCAGCACTTAATTGTTAACATTCTTGGGAGTGGCAGTTACGTGGAGTATCCCCAAATAAAAGAATGGGTTACACCTAGAGACAGTACTTTACACTTGAGCATGAGCATGCATGGTAAGGTCTCATGAGTGTAAACACAGTAGGAAATGTACCACAAGGAGATGCTCCAGGAAGAACTTGCTGGTCACCTAGCTTTCCGCTTTCTCCCCTCCATCACTTCCACCTATTGTTATTCCATGCTGTACATCGATAGTTTCACTTTTCAAACTAAACACCAGTACCCAGCCTGCCTCTAAATTCATTACCTTAGTTCTTAGTAGAAGTATTTCGTTTTTAAATTTCTTTTCCTGGAAGTATGGGAAGGAAGGTTTTTTAGAATTTTTTTTTTAACTGCTACTAGGGCACTTGACAAATAAAACTTACTCAGATTGATGTTGAAATCAAATAATAGAACTGTGCTCAGATGTTCAATGACTGATTCTTTTTTAATGAAAAATTTTACTGTGAATTAGGTGAAGAGGTTTACATTTCAGACCACCAACTCTGCATCCAGCAGTTCAATCCACTCATCAGCTGCCCCTTCCCATGTCCTGTTCCCCTGACTCCTTCCTTGCCCCATTTCTCTTCTCGCCTAAGGACCTAACCTTATTCCAATTCACAATAAAAAGTATTTTTTAAAAGATAGTGGAAAAGTCCCACTATTTTTAAATTTCATTTTGCCATGAATCTTTTCACGCCTCTTTGTATAATCTCTGCTTATTTGATTTAACATTATATCTAGGCATTGAGCCACTTTTGAGAGGGTAGCTTTTTACTTTCTTTGTCAACAGTATTTTTAAAGGAATAAGCCATCTAGTTGAATTCTTGTATGTATTTCCCTTTTCCAGTTTTCTCGATCTTTATTATATAAGTAATTTGATCAGAAGGATTAATTGTCCTACAAAGACATTGGTGTGGCCTCTGTACTTGGGAAGATTAGTTTCAAGAGGAGGGGAGGTTAATCCTCCAGAAGCAAATCACTTGTCTGAATTTAGGCCAACAGCTGGGGGAGGAAGGATTTGCATCCCCTCCAGTTCTCCAGTTTGAGGCAGCTACTGCAGAAAGCCCCCAGCCCAGCCCTGGCTTGTGCCCCTGTTGGCCTCGAATTCCCACAGGAGCTTTACCTCCAGATGTGGGTCCTTTGTGTGCTGTGGCTGCATGAGGGAGAAATACCTAGTTACAATATTCTCCTCAGTGCAATTGTCTTGGGCATGATGATTGAGCCTAGGTTAGCAATTTTCTGGAGGCCTTTGAAATGCATAGTATTTCTTATGTAGTGTGGTTTTCTGTAGAAAATAATACATGATATATCACATTTTATTTCTTAGCCTTTAATCAAGATGAAATTAAAAGTGAACTTTGCTAAGAACATGAGTAGCATTGCCAAGGAATAAAACATAGATTTTAAAATTAGTATACCCTGGCTGTAAGTTGAATCTATCAATGTTTCCCTGAATAATTTTGCAGTATTTTAAGAAATTGACACTCTGTGTTGAGATAGCCTAATTTGAAATTAAACAAAAAAATTAGAACATGTAAAATGCATCCATATAATATATTCACAGAGCATATAAAAATGCATTCCTGCTGCATGGGGCTCACACAGCAGCCAAAGACATTGTCAGTTGGGTCAGGCGTACCACAGGTAAAGGACTGTAGTTTAGCAGCTCTGGTCATGGAGCAGAGGATGCAGTCAGTCGTTCCCTGCCAGGATGCCGCCCACCCACATACGGTTCATTCGTTACATGGAGGTAAGAGATTTTTTTAAAGCTCAAAGGCTGATATTTTTTTTAGCAGTTTTATTGGCATATAATTCACACACCATATGAATCAACAGTTTAAATAAAGAGTTGTGCAGTCATCACCACAATCAATTTTACAATAGTCTCTTCCTTTTTTAAGTTTCATTGGCATATAATTCACATATCGTACAATTCAGTAGTTGAGTCACATCAAGAAGAGTTGTACAATCATCCCCACGGTTTTAATACATTTTATTCATTCTTATACTCATCGTTAGTAGTTCCCTGTATCCCCCCAACCTCCCCTACCATGTCCTCAAGGAGCCATTAATCCAGTGACTGTCTTTATAGATTTGCCTATCCTGAATTTCATAAACTGAAAAATAATTTTTAAAGAAATAAAACTAGCAAGAACAAAAAGGATAAAACCTTAATCAAAAAGCTGAAAATATTAAAAATCAGAGCAAATTTAAAATAGGTCAAAGGGGAGATTAAATGATACTAGATTTTAGCGAAACTGCATCTGCAGTAATCCACTTGACAACAGTACATTCTGCGTGACAGCAAGACTACTCATATCATGGTCTTTAGTCAGGGGTGTTCTCCAGAGGTTCAATGCATGCGCATTCCCCTTCCCTTTTTTAAAACTGAAACAACTTTATGATGGATTGAAAGGGAGATCAAATGATAAGATGTTTATGCCTGCCATAATCGACTTTACATTGCTCTCTGTCTGATAACAAGGCTATTCATATCACTCAACTATGATCAGGGGGGATTCACCAGAGGCTTAGTCCATGTGGGGTTCCTGAAAACTGATTTTGGGCTTCCACTGTCACCCATGGTCTTCTGCAAACGAGGTTTTAACAGTTTAAGCTCTGATACCATTTCCCTCATTCAGATGTGGATTTTATTATTTATAATCCTTGCATCACACAGGCTGGTGTGCTTCTTCCATGTGGACTTAGTTGACTCCTTTAGATGTCTGCTTGTGTGAAGACAAGCCTTTAAGACTCCAGATGCCATTCCTTCTAGTGGGCACCATGTAGTTTCTTCACCACACTTTGCTATAGCACCCATATCTTCAGTGATCTCTTTATGATGATGAGCCTTAAGCAGGGCCATGTCAAAAGAACTGTTCTCAGATTGGGACTAGAATTAAGTGAAAAGTCCCAAATCCCTTCATAAATCTATGGTTTATATATGTGTCTGGTTCGCCTTAAAAACATCATTTTCATTTATTTTAGAGACCATTATCAGTCAGCTCCGTGTGGCATCACTTCCACTGCCATTGAGTCAGTCCAACTCATAGCAATGCATAGGACAGCCCCTGTGAGTTTCCAAGACTGTAAATCTTTTTAGTAGTAGAAAGCCTCATTTTTCTCCCCAGAGCCAGCTGGTGGTTTTAAACGGCTGACCTTATGACTAGCAGCCCAATGCATAGCCACTACACATTGTGGGTCGTCTGTGGTCTGCAGCCTTACTGCCCTGGTTCGGGCCGTAAGCATCTTTCTTCTGGCCTCACCACCCCTCCTAATCCTCCTGTTTACTGCTTGGACAAGCAAATTGTTATAATGCCTGCCTCCCTCTTCTCAGTTCCCATTGCCCAAGATGAATCTAATCCATAATCCTCACGGCACAAAGGCCTGTCCTGGTTGATTCGAGCATACCTGCCCAGCTTCCTTCCCTCCACGGCCCCACCCCCAGAGCCCTTCTCCTCAGGAGGCGGAGCTGTGTGCTCTTGGGCTGCACTTGTTAGCCCTCCCCCCCCATAGGTGTTCCGCCTCCTGGTCCACTGTGCTGTCCTGAGAACAGGCTGCCTAAAGGGATTATATACAGGCTTTGACTCAGTGATCCCATTTTGGAAATATGCTTTAAGGAACTATTCTGAAAAAAGAAAGTAATTCATATGACAATATTCATGTTAGAATTTAGCATAGAGAAAGGGCTATTTTTTTCCTAACAGTTTCATTGGCACGTAATTTACATATCATTCAATCATTCAGTCATATCAAGGAGCATTGTACAATCACCACCACATCAGTCTTAGAGCGTCCCCCACCCCACCCCTCGCACTGGTTATATCACCTTTAAAATAAGTCGGGCAGTCACAATCAGTTCTAGTGCTCCCTCCCCGATCCTTCCTGATCCCCCTTCCCACCCCGCCCCTGCATTCCCTATGACCCCGTGTATCAGCTACTCTCATTATGTAGCCACTCCTCCTTCACACCTGTGCTCCACAGCTGTGAACCACAACAGAAAACAATAAAAATCAAAATCACACTAAGGAGGTAAGGATAAAATCATAATAGTATAAAGACAAAAGTGCAAATAATTTGTTAAGAAGGAAAAGACCCCTATCAGCATCCAAAAAGCCAGGGAAGAAATTCCTGTCGTGGAACGAGTAAGAGATACGCACACCCAGAACAATTCCAGGTCATGATTATAGAGGTCAGCAGGCCACGCATCAAGTTCGATCCAGTTCATCAAGATTGTAATGGTCCCTGCCTGACAGTCAGGCTGTTCGAGACTCTGCCTGTGGCTGGAGCAGACCTGCCAGCAGCTCAGGCTGACCAGATGCTCTGCAGATGAGTTTTCGGCTAGAGAAAGGGCTATTTTTAAAAAGTTCCATGACTAAATAAACTCCCCGTGGGCTTCAAAAAGTTCATGGAAAACTGGAGTTAAGATAGTGGGATTTTTTTTCCCTCCAAACTTTTCCCCCAACTCCTATGGTAAGGCTACGTGGGATCTAAATTGGCCTCCAGGGGGAAATGTGAGTGTGAAAAAAATACCTAATATTAATAGTATGCTGATCTACTTGTGTATGACTGAGTAGTGAGAAGAGATAGCATTTAATATTCCCCATATCCTCATCCCCAATAAATTTGTTGAGTCTAAATAAAAAGGAGAGTAGTTGTGAGAGGCTTGGAATAAATAGTCTGCTGGCTGCCTTAAAGTTTCTCATACAAAACTGGCATGTTGTTGCTGTGCACCCTAAGTTCCCAGACTTCTCTAGAGTACTGCCCCTGTTCAGGAGAAAGATTACTCCACACGCCCCTGGCAATTAAAAACTTGTCCTACATAGATCACCCATAATCCAGGATAACGGTCTGCTTTTACAGCCCTCCTGGATCCTTC